CATGGCCGAGTTAATAGAGATCAGCTCTCTGCCTTATGTCAAAACTTCCTAGAAGGAGGCGCAATCACGTCGCTGATGGGCGGTGATTGGAGCCAGGGAGCCCAGATGTGTTGATTTCCTGTGTCATTTGGTCCTCGTGAGTGGAGCCAAGCCATGATTCAAAATGGCAAAATTAAAGGCTCAGCGAGCGCCATATTCTGAGATGACCTCACGTGTAGGAATGCACGCATGTGAAAACTGCAGAGGGAGGTTTTTTTTTTTTTTACACATGCAGCTGAAATGTGGAAGAAATACGGGACAAACTGGGAAGGAGAGAGAGCAGACGTTCTGTTTTTTATTCTACTCTGGCAGCTCCAAACGCCTATAAATCCACTAACAAAGGAAAAATTGCAGCGATAATGAGACGTGTGGGGGGAAAACCTCAGGAAATTGAGTTTTGAATGAAACCAAGAAACCTTTTTATTAAAACGTATAATGCGATAGACAAGAAGTGCTGCTTTTTTGTAGATTTAATTAAAAAGAAGTGGCACGAAATAAACAAAAATATAATGCTGATTATCACTAAGTGCTCGTGGTCGGGAAGAATTTTCATGTGAAAGAAAAACACCCCAAAACGATTTGGGATTCAGACCGAACCGAAAAAAAAGGCCTCTTGTTGGAATACAGCAGTTATTTCTTACTGGAGAGGGAGGTTTTTCTTCTTCTTTGGCTTCAGCTGGTTGTACGATAACACGGCAATCAATCCAAGACCTCGTTGAAATGGAGGCTTCTCGCTGTGCTTCCAAGTCGACCTCTCATCTGGAGCGAGAACGTGATCCCATCGTGATCCCACCCAGCCTCAGAAAGCACATTAGCAGTTAAACACGCTGCGTTATGTCGCTTTACTCCCCCGAAAGAGTGAAGTAAATGCCAACTGCAAATTGCTTTTTGTTGATAAATTGCGGTGCATTTGATATTTCGGCGCGTGAGCCAAAGCAGGAGTGCCTGGGAATTACTCATCCCCACAACAGTGTAGGTTTGAGCTCTTTGTTTAAATTACCAATGAGAGCTCCGCTGCCGATCGCTGGCCTCTCTTCATCAGATCTTTTTTATTTTATTATTCTTTTGCTCCGAGAGAAAGCGAGACAGACGGGAGGCTTTGGATTCACGCTGCCAGGAGATCCAGGAGGTCTGACTGGGAGCAGATGCAGCAGTTATGAGACAGAGTCGTGTTCGCAAAGGGAGGCTTTGAGGATCCTGGCAAAGCTGCGCGCTGGTGGGAGGACCAGTTGGAAAGGGCCAGAACCTTTCAAAAAGGGTATTCAGGATTATCGAGAGAGCGAGAGAGAGAGAGGAAATCATTAAGGAGAGGAGAGGAAGAGAGAGACGGTGAGTGAGAGAGAAATTAGGAAGGAAAGAGGAACTCAGGATGAGAAAATGACTCAACAAACTTCTACACGAGTGCTGAGCCGGGATGTCAGACTTTCTAACACCAGCAGAACTACTGTAAATATGTGTCCTGGCACTCTCACAAATCTGCAGGTTTTTTTTTAAAGCTGTGTTTGTGCAACTTATCCAGCAACAACTGCAACACAAATGTAAGAATTTTAAGAAATCACTGATATGATCTTCATAAGTTTTGGCTTATATCCTAGTTTCTGAATGAGGTGAACACACCAGGATGAGTGGGAGCTTACAGGATCATCAACATGTTGTTGTTGTGTAATCAACTGCACATACTGTAGCTAAAATCTAAATCCCACAAAAGGGGAATCAGGTTTTCAGCTGAGCTCATGATTAGCTATTAGCACCAACAGTTTTAATGATTTTGTGAAGAACCAGGTGAAGAAGAGATCCCTGTGTAAAGGTAAGACAGCTCCATCGATGCTTGTTGTAAACGATAACCAGGCACTTTGTTTTTTACGTTTACGATATCTCACAAGCACACGTGAAAAGTTTATTTATCCTGTGTGCCTGACAAATAAGTCTAATGTTGTATTAATATGGATTTTTATGAGTAGAATTGTGCCTCTATACCCAGCAGTGCATCACACTTCTGGCAGTTCAGTCTATTTAAGAATGAAAATCAGAGATTTCATACATGTTGATGTTACCAACATAATAAAGAAGGGAGCTTCTGTGCTCTTAAACTGAGTAGCAGCTGCTAACTTGTGAAATTTCAGTGGAAATCTTTGGATCCATTTAGAATGTTGTAGGGTCTTAATCTTGACATTTAAATTAATCAGGGATATCTGTGTAATATGTCATATTGTAGGACCTTAATCTTAATATTTATATTGTATTAATCTTGTAGGGTTGAAACCATCAATATTTAAGTCAGGTTAATGTATCATGTATATAACATTGTAGGGTCTTAACCTTAACTTTTAACTTACTCAGACATGTTTGTGTTATGCATAATCTTGTAGGATCATATTTTGAAGTCGTATTATACATGGCATTGTAGGGTTTTAATTTAAGTTAGTCAGGTAAATTTGGACAATGCATCATATTGTAGGGTCTTAATCTTAATATTTAAGTTAGGTCATTTGTATATTTGAGTTTGGTAAATTAGTTTTATATATAATCTTGTAGGGTCTAATCCTTAATATTTAAGTTAGTCAGGTGTATTTGTGTTATATATCATATTGTAGGGTCTTCATCTTAATATTTAGGTTATGTAAATATGCATTATATTTAATATGTAGGGTCCTAACCTTCAATTTAGTCCGGTTTTCTTATACATAGTCTTGTAGTGTCTTAACCATAATATTTAAAGTAGATCAACTTGTTGTGTCTTTACTGTAATATTTAACTTGTTTGCTAAATATGGGATTATTACAGATGTTCTGGGATGCACTTTGGTTTAAGGTCTCTTGTTTTAAATAACAGTGACTTGACCTGATGCTTTACACCCACCTGTACTACCTGTACAACCAGTGCTGTTGTTGTTGTTTTATAAACTACCTACTTCTGGCTACTGCTTAATGGAATCTGCAAGTTATTTGAGCTAAAACAACTGCTGCATACAAATCCGTCTCTGAACAGTGATTCCACTGGTTTCCAGTCAAGTTTTATTATTTAAATACTCAAAATGTGCCTATAAGCTTTCATGACATTGTGGTAATGAGTTTTCCACCTCCTGCTGCTCAGTTATTAAACAGGAAACCCATCTACGCGTTAGCCCTCGCTGTTCTGAGCGATAGGGTGACATTAGCATCATCTCCCCGGTAAGAAAATGAGAGCTCGTCGTATTAATTTGAACTGCTCTACTGGGAGCTCTGAGGCTGATTTTAGTGTCCATATTCTCATCACTGATGAGGTGAATCAACCGTTTCTGTCTTCCCTTATTGCCCTCAATTCTAAACAGCGGCTCAGCTATGCAAAAGGTGAATCAACAATTCATGAGCCTCCACCTCGTTACACACAGTGTCGATTAATGAGTGTGTGCAGCAGCGTTGGCAGGCCCCTGAGCACAAACACAACCTTTATCCTGTGGGACCCGTGATGAGCTGTGTCACACGTCATCCCCTGTGTCTGGATACAGTCCATTCACACATGCAAACTGCATTAATAATAGTCCCACTGTTTGCAAGATAACATTTGTTTTTGGGATTCGGTGTCGCGGCATGTGCTGCAGGAGTTCGACACACGCGGGGGTCAAACAGCTGTCTGCGGTCGTACACCTGACTTCCATGCTGCCAGCGTGTTTTAAAACTTTAAATGGAGTTTTCCATTTAGTGTGATCTCTGAGAAGTCCTCGGAGGAGGACGGCAGGGCGTGTGGGCAAATTGAAACCTCATCAATGGGCTAATGGTGCAGCTCACCTAACGTGGCTGCAGCGCACACACCGACACACACATCTGCTTCCTCCTCATCCCTCGGTGTTAGTCTAAGTGGAAAATCATTGATCTGGCTCATTAGATCTGACCCTTCTTTATTATCCAGGAAGATTAAAGAAAGGCTTTTTTCATTTGATGCTCTTCTTTGTATGACTGAGGAGCCCCTGTATGGCTCCTTACAGGGCAACAACACGACTGTTTTAACACACAACACTACACCTTATGAATTTTAAGGAGATTGATTAAAAGGCTTCCTTGAAACCTTGAACACATCAGGCTCTCTACAGTAACAACAATGACAGTCCTGCTGGCATCATCATCATCATCATTTTTTACTGGAAGTGATGCTGACACACAGAACAGAGATGCTCACACTGATGATGATGTGAAGCGAGCCCATCATCGCCCTCTAGTGGCAATGAAGGGTTCATAACATAAATAATCGATCCCACACAGACAGACAGAGAAGCACAGTCATAGAACATCTACTGCCAGATAGAAAGCATAACAAAAATCTGCATAATGTTTTTTTTAAGATCTTACATAATAATAATATTTATATACATAATAATAACTTATAAAGTGCCTCTTGAAAATAGAGTCACAAACAGGCAAAGAAGAAGAAGCTGTCCAGGGGCTGTAGTCCCGGAGGTCACGGGTTCGAGTCCCGCTCATGGCCCTCTCCTTCCCCCATTCTTCTCCCCCACTTTCCTGTCTGTCTCTTGACTTTCCCATCCAATAAAGGCAAAAACGCCCCCAAAAAACTTAAATATACAGATATTCAAAAAAGAAATTCATATAACAAAACAATCAAGGGACAGTATGGATAGAAGCTTAATTAGCATTAGCCACATTCTGCTTCTGTCCCCCAGTGTTAGCACAAGTTGTCTGTGTTGTGATAAACTCACTCCGGTTGTGTTCGTGTGATAAAGTGCGCTCCTAAAATGCAACACAAGTGTTTATTTACGTGAAAAAGACGCGCACCGGGAGCCGCTAAGCTCCGGAGCAGCGTGTGCGGCTCCGCTGGCAGCGCCGCTGTTTTTATAGCGCCGTTAGATGAGGCGGAGAGGGGAGGGGCGGGGGGGACGCTCGTGCCAGCCCGCACATGCGCACTCGGTGGGAAACACGATTGAAAACGGGCAGCTATGCCGCGCGCTGCAGAAAACGGGGTGGACGCGTCCGCTTGGAACAACGGCCGGCGTACCGGAGGACTGACCCGGGGACTGCGGGACCACCGGGAGGCTGCTGACAGGCGCTAACAGGCGATTCTTTCCCCGGGGATAAACCTCCTCCTCCTCCTTGAAAAAGCGGCGGTCCGCTCCTTTCTCCCCCATTTCCCTGCTCCGCTAGCGGCTCCGAGGCACCAGCGATGTTGCTACCGAGCGTCTAGGATTTTACCTCCTCCTCCTCCTCCTCCTGCCGCCGCCGCCGCCGTCCGTCCGTGCGTTTGTACCGACTGTAAATAAAGCCGAGCGCAGACAGAAAAGCGACACCAGCGGGCTTCACTATGGTTTTATCGGCGCTCCGCAGCAGGAGATGTCTTCATAGCTGCTGTATGGGGACGTTATGCTTGCAGTTGTTGCTGTGGATTTTATGTGCCGTGAACGGAGAGGAGCAGCCGTTCAGCGTGGAGGTAAGATGTTTGTTGACATGACAGCCGTTCAGCTGAGCTTCACCCTCCCACCTTCGTGTTTGACATAATTTTTATTATTTTATAAATCCTAAAGAATAAAGTGTGAGAGGCTGCTGAGGCTCATGTTGATGTTTGAGCCACAACAACAGGGTCTTTGTGAGGATGTCCAGCTGGGTTGTAGTCCTGCCACACTTCTCTCTCTCTCTTTTTATTTTTAATTATCCTTTCAAATGGACACTGGAAATATAGCCCCTCATGTTGCTTTAAAAAGCTTTATGTGATGAAGCAAAAAAAAAAAAAGAGGAGTAGCTTCATTTCTGTGTGTTTTCATTCAGTCACAATACAAAGACAAAGAAAGTGTGTCCGCTCTCACACATCCAGAGAGACTACTAAGTGGACTATGTGAGCATCCAGAGACCGTCTTGTCGCTGCAGCTGAACCAGCACATGCTCCAGGGCTTAACTCTGGAGATCTTGTGGGGTCACGGGCAACAATGCGAGCAGCCAGATGAGAAGAGGGGCTTTCTTCACAAAGGGGGCTTTTCATTCTGATCTGATCTCTCGGCTTAATGGATCGCCAAAAGTCTTCAGGCTACGAGTGCAATGAACTCTGTGTCAGTGTTTCTGCTCTTTTCTTTCTTTCTTTCTGTGCAGGACAAGCTTCCCTCCCTGAGTTTTTTTTTTCTTTTTAAATGAAGGGCACATCTGTGTGTTTTACATCCTGCTTCTTGTTTCCAGAGCAAAGTGTGACACCGAGTCCCCCCTTCGCTTGTCTCTCGCACTCGGCTGCACATGGAGACGCCACACAGGATCGCCCTGGCATGTGCGCCGACACTCATTCAAGCCCTCACATCCACATGATTTGCGAGCTTGGCATGCCACGCCGTTCCATTTGGAAGGGCTGGAAGGCAGCAGATTTGGTCCAGATGCTACAGGTTATTCAGTTAAAATGCCCCACATGACAGGAGGAGGAGGAGGAGGAGGAGGAGGTGAGCTAGAGGGACGTGAGGAGTTTCATTCACAGCTCTTGTCGTCCCCGTGTGACCGACGTTGTGTTTGTCAAAACTCACACACTTGATCTGATTCTCCGCTGCACAACATAAACGTGATTAAAAGCGTAATATTAACATTGTTGTCATACTTCTCCCACGTCGTCCGCCTCCACTTGAATGTCATTATTCCTCCCCCTGCCTTTGCATCTCTTGTTCCTTTGTGCCACTGCATTGTGAGTGTGGCCCTGGCACTCTGACTTGCTCTTTAGAAATCCCACAACTGTAGTAAATCACTTTCAAACCACTCGTAGTCAAAGATATTTTGACTTCTATGCGTGCGAGATGTTTGCTTAGCGAGCTTGCTTTGAAGCTGTGTTTTCATTCACAGAAATGCCAGTTTGCATATTTTTACATGTGCTGGAGCCGGATGAGATGTTCTGCATGTATGTTGCTGGCAGCCTCCCGCCGGGCCTGTCATGTGGAGATACTGCTGAGCTCACACATGTCAGCTCATTATCCCTTCCTATAGATTGTAGCGCTGCGTAAACGTGGTGGTTTCACATCCGTGGATGTTTCCAGCTTCCTGACATGACAGCATCTGTGCAGGATTTCAGAGCCTTCACACGTTCTCGTGTTGGCGAGAGCAGGGCTTCTCGCCGTAACACGAGAGCTTTACGGCCCCTCATCTGACTGCTCTTGTTGTTTTGAAGCCAGAGAGGTCTTGTGGCTCCGGTTAATAGCGTTTTAAACTCTTTCATCGACAGCTGGTGAAGTGCCCATGAGCAAACTTTGAGGGTTTAACGCTCATCTGTCAATGTAATGTGCAATACTTAGATTTCATGTGTGATATCACCTCACTGTTGTCGTTACTACTTTTCAAACTGCATGTCATCTGTGCAATATCTGCCAAAGTTTTCTTCTGTCTTCAATGATCTTACCAACATGTTCAACATACGAGCCACCGTGGTCCCCAATAATAAGCCAATTTCTTCCTAAAATAACATCAGTCGCTTGGAGAAAAGATTATTATCATGTTGGGAAGTTATTTTTTATAGCGTGCAAAACATAAATCATGACATTACATGTTGTATTTCTGACTCTGACCTTCATTTTAGCATAGAAGGAGGAAGCACAGAAGGTAATCCGTCTGTCTCCTTCACAGTGATTGACACTTCCCACCCTGATGGTGCAGGATACTGAGCCAACATGAAGTCAATAGGAACCGATTGACAACAAAAAAAGGAATAACACGGCCGTGGTAGGATGAGGGTTAAACATGAAGGTGACTTTAAACTGACAAATAAGTAAACTTTTATTTGACCTCTGGGCGATCTGAAGCAAACCGACTGCGTTGTCCTTCTGTCAGGCGGCGGTTCAGACTCCACTGACTGATGTCTGTCTGCAGACGTATAAACACTTTCTGTCTTTGAAAACCCAAACTGGTTTCACTGGAGCCACTTCCAGCGCTTGTTATGACTGTGTGTATGTAAGTGTCTGTCACCACACCTACACCGCGGGTCACAGAGGGTAATAATGAAGCCAGAGATGAGCGTTTCTTCTAAATAACAGGTGTGGTTTGAGGTGGGAGGTCAGACCGAGCCTCCCCTGTAATTGCTGGTCAGACTGCGGCCTCTTAGAAAACCTGACCCGTTCCAGCGCCGACTTTCTGGATTTGGCTTCATGGCTGAACTGACTTTAATGCCACTTGTTCTCCGATCGTTTTTGCTTTGGATTGTGTTTTTACAGAACAAGCCGCCTGTCACTCAGCGTGTGATAAAACAGTGATTAATGCTAACGTGCTGCGCCTCACTTCAACCCTATAGATGTGCCAGTCTGTGCTTACTGCAGAAATATTTCCTGAAGCTCTTCAGCTTTTGTTTATCCGATTGTCTTCCCGCGAAGAAGTAATTTTCTCTGCAAATTAGACAATGTCATTAACAATGGCACAGCCACGAGTTAATTTTATTTATCTCCTCATGAGTTTTATTTTCTGTTTCAGTTGATTTTATGGAAAAAAAAAAAAAAAGAAAAGCTAATGATTTAGTGTGACAACCATGAAGTCATTTTTTAGTGCTTTTCTCTGCAAGGCCTGGTGCTGTAGGTGGGCTGTGAGAGCAGTCGAGCTATCTTGAGTTATTTTTATCATTAGCTTTTATATAACGCAGAGTAATTAAAAGAGAGATAATGGAGGTTTAATCTCTCCTCCCTGTCCTCGTTTGACACTGTCCAACAGTTAGGGGGAAATTTCACTTAACATTACGTAACTCATTCAGCGCCACCGACACACAGACGGTCGCTCCGAAGGATTTCAGCGTACGACGTCACATTCAGCAGCTTTTAAGGACACCTGGAACCGCCGAGCTAAATTTATTCATCTTAAACGCTTTTTGTTTCTAAAAATCGTTCAGTTACGTAAAATCCTCACTGTACCGCTCGGCTATTTCTGTACCGCGTGGTCTGCGTCCTCTGCGTCCTGTCGGGGTTTGATTCATTTTTCTCTCTCGCTGCTGCGGTGGCTTTCTTTCTCTAGGTACACAACAACAACAACAACAACAACAACAACAATGGAGGCCTCATGAGCTTCTCGCCGCCTTGGTTGCGCCGAGCGCTTCGCAGAGAGGCATCAGGTGCAGCGCTCGCGCTCTGAGTCACATTAAGTGTTTGAATCATGCCACTGTGCTCACCAGAGACAAAGTGAAGTTGCTTAGTCAGAGATAATCTGCTGTACAATAAAGAGTGCAAAGTTGTACTCCCATCTGCTAACACATCCTGTCTCAGATGGATGAATGAATTAGGAGGAGGTGGTTTGGTTCGACTCCGCTGACTGTCGGCTGTAATTATTAAATCCACCGAGGATTTCATCTGCTCCCTCTGGTTTTTTTTTTTTCCCTCCGTGTGTCAGCTGGTTATCTCTAGCAAAAGATCTCCAAGAAACGTAGTGGACAGTCTGAACTTTAGTCAGAAAACAACCGATTGCTGGTTGGTTGTCATCCAAAGAGACAGAACTAAGTTGTTGGCTTTTTGCTGTAAATGTCGGGACAGAAACACCTTAAAAGGATTCATAAATGTGACCGTATTACTGATTATCTGATCGCATCTGGAGCTGTGCTATCTTGAGTAAACTGAAATATTTTGCAGAATAATAACATTTATTTGCTGTCATTTATTTAGACCGGTGCCACTTGTGTCTACAGCCCACGACGCTAGATTAGCTTAGCATGAAGACTGGAAACTCCACGACAGATGGCTTTGATCCGTCCATAGCTCTGATATGCGTTTACAATCATCGATTTAAGCTTCTAATTAACACAACTCTCGTCTGGGCGAGCCGCGCACGAACTCAACTGGAACCGTTTGGTGGAACCGTTTCTGAACCGGGCACGGCGAGCTGTCGGTTTTACAGTTTAGGAACGAAACAAACAAACGAGATGTTAATTGGAGTTAGCTTTAGAAGCGTCGGTAGGCTTTCTGTACGCCGAGCTAAGCTAATTGTGTCTCTAGCTTTGTTTTTAATGGACGGACGTTAGAATGGCACCAAAGTTCTGATCTGGCGTTGGGCAGGAAAACAAACATGTGAAATATTCCTCTTATGGCACAAAAACAAGGAGCAGCGTTGCACGAAACAGTCATTATTTCATATAGACATTTCAGCCTCCTCTATTCCCATTAACCTTACGATGGTGTCACATAAGTGTAAGTGGCGTAGCTGTTTTCAGCGCCGTGCTAATGCCAGGCTCAGCGCCGTCCAGTGCAAACTACTTAGTGCTGTTGTCACTATGTGAGGAATGGCAGAGCTTCATCCCCGTCTCAGCTCTTGTTACCAGTTGGCATGCTCGGCCCCTGAGTGGCATCTGAATAATGGAAAGCAACTGGTGGGAATGTGTGTGGACCAGTGCATGTGTCTGTTTTCTTCGTGTTGTGGCTTCGCTCGCGTCCATGGATTCTTCTTCTAGCTTTGTGATGTTTGCGTCCGTTCGTAGCCGCTTGCGTGTTTGTGCCTCCAGCTTTA